TATATATATATAAAGAGGGAGACACACAACGTAGAATAATAAAATAATAAAAATTGCTCTAGAATTTGATATTTTCAAACGATATTGGTCGCACAAAAAAATAGGATGGCAATTGATACGCCTCCATCAAATTTTTATCATCCAACAAGAATCTCGAGTGATTGCACAAATTCGAATTAAAATTTTTAGCAAAAAATATTTGAATTTCAATTAAAATTCATCAACAACTCCGATTTCAACAAACTTAAGAGTTTGAGCGTGCTTACACCCGGCTTGTTTTATATAAAAAAAGAGAAAATAATATTAACTTAAAATAATTTTGTAATAATTTAATAAATTGAATGAGAAATTAGGAGATAAATAATAAGAAATCATCCATTATATAATAAAAAATACTATTTTCTTATCTTTTTTAATATCTTAAAGATAATTTTTCGAAATTTGGTATATTTTTAGTATAGTTTATTTTAATATTTTTTAAATGAGTAAGCTCACAAGTTAACAAGTCGAGTCGAGACTGGCTTGAGCTTGGCCTGTCAACTCATCGAGCTCAATTCACTAACCACTTATTAAGCCTAGCTCAAGCCGACTCACGAGTCAACTTGGCGCATTTGCACCCCTAATCCAATCCAAGTCAAATCAATCTCAGGTCAAGTGATTAAACTGGGTCTATTTGGAAAGTCAAACGGATGCTAAATTTGATGAGCTCATGGTCGAATCTAGTGTCTCGATAAGACAAATCCAACGAGTCTAAGATCACTCAATTCTGACATTATTAAGACTTCCAAATGTCTATCAAATGTTGCCTAATCGAGGGAAACTCTCTGGGTCATCCAATTAGAGTGGTTCATATTATTTCATTAATTACAATCTAGATTCTATAAATAGAGCCTTACCCCTTTCATGAGGGGGGAGCTTGAAGTCTGAAGAGAGAGCTTGAAGCCTGAAGAAGATTAAAGCTTAGAAAAGTAGCTAAAGTCCAACACTATCATCCTCCGCCCTCTTCTTACAATAAGTTCGTACTTTGTAGCTTGGAAGATTGTGTAACTCTTTTCCTCCTGTGGGACAATTGACAGTATTTGTAATCTTCAGTTAGAGTATCTCTTCAATTGAGTCAGACCTCGTTATTTTTTCCTTTACAGGTTTTCCATGCAAAAAAATTTCGATGTTTCTACTAGTTATTTTCTTTCATCTGAGCGTGTGTTAAATTCTAGTGCAGCGCTGAGTGTTGGGTAATGTGGAGACCCGGTCCCCCTCATTTTAATTAGCTTCCTAATTAAGAATCACACATACCGCTCATCTACCTTCCTACCAACCTGTCACCTCCGAAAAGAGCCCTTAAGAGAGGTGGGCAGCCTAGG